CCCCCACGCCGGAGTTAGGTGGAAAACCTGGTTCCTGGGTGCGAGGGAGTGCGTCGTGGGTCTGTGTGAGGGAGTGAGGGAGGGAAATCGAGTTTTGTTATATTTCCCTTCCTCCTAAGTCTCGGGTAACAGAAATGGTAACAGAGGCAGAAGCATCCTGGATGAACATGCGCATAGCTCACTACCCCCGCCGCGTCCTGCAGACTTCTGGACGACGTCCCTGCACCAGGCTTACCAACATCTCTACTGTCACTCCAGGCCATATCAAAAGTTGAACTTCGTACGTCTCAATAATTCGAATCATTATATTTGTTATTCGGTATTCAGATATTTCCATTTTCTTAGGAGCTATAATTTTATGTTTATCTTAGGTAGGAAATTTATTCTACGATTTTTAGAGTTTTTGTATGTTGCCGGATATTCATAATTATAGTCAATGTTCGCTTCCCTTTGCAAGTTTCAACGTATTGATCACAACCTGCAATGGGATAATAATTTGTTTATTTCTGTCAGACATGACCTTTCTGTAGCCACGACTAAATCCATCGAGCAGATTCGAAAACCCAGAAGTCGCTCAATTCATCAATAAATTCCCTACCAAATACGGAAACCAAAGGTTCATTCTATTTTCACAGGAGCTCACAGAAATCTATTCTGAGCTAGATGAATCCAGCCCACGAGCTCATATTCTATTTTTCAAGATCAATTTTAATATTTATCTCCCAGCAATGCCTCGAGTTCCTAAGTGGCCCCTACTAGTTATGTTTTCAGACCAAACCTCTAAGAATACAGATGATCTTACTCAGAATGAGTAGTCTGAAGCCTCGTTACATTAAACACTGATTTTCCACTCATAAAATACTGTTTAGTTTTAATACGTTATCATATATAATTCACGTTTCCATAACGAAATTGTCTAGACAGACATTTTCCACATCAAGTTCAGCAAAACAAATTCTCTACAATCATTACTTCTGCTAACGGAATATGTACATATGTGGTAAAAGTGAATAAGCTATGCGAACAGTGACATACCTTCTTAGAATTTTCTTTATTATTTTAAATAGAGTGTACATTAACGTATTTTAGAAACTCCTCAGTGACTATATAAATATTATTTTCCGTTAGAAACACCGAAAATTCTTGTTTTGATTTTACCTTACCAAAAAATGACTATTAACCATTTCTCTACACCGCAGAGACTATAAATTATTACTGCTAATGGTGATTATATTTGACAATATATTTATAAAATATGGAGTTTGTATTATGTTAACAAATATGTTCTTCTGCGTCAATAACACAATAATAAAACCGATATCGTACTCTTCTTGATAGTTTTTAATTTAACGTAAATATAGGTTTAATTAAAGTAACCATAATTTATTTCAGTATAAACCTAACAAATTAAAATGCAGGAACGGAGATATCAGAATAAAAATATGAGAATAGTGGCAAATTTCATTTAATTAAAATTTTCATTAATTCATCTTACATACCAAAACATTGATAGTGACGTGACAAAGTCAATATAACAGAAAAATGTTAAGGTGGAAATGTGTAAAATCATAGCTCATTATCAGGATTGGAGGCACCACAGATCGAAAATTCCAGCATTGCAGAATAGAGTAATTACCCACTACATTTCGTAGATCTAGACACGAGCGGTAAAGCTATGCATCCCGAATAATACCTTAGTGTAAGCCGGGGCGTAATTTTGTTGGCGGAAAGTTGGCAACAAGAGGGGTAGGTAGCTGTGGCAACGGCAGTGTAACTCGGCGCTGGATGAAGCAGAGACCCGGCCATCCGACGATCGTCCGATCAACACGCGATGTAGACGGTATGAACCAGCCGGTCTGGTACAAAACACAGAGTGCGACACGTGGAGGGCAACACAATTGACGCCATTACACAAACACTAACACCTTGTGGCTCCATGATACCCTCCAGCTACACACAATACAACAGCCACAACTATTCAGCATTTGTTTACCAACACACGTCAATGACTAGGTAACCAAATTAGCCAGTAATGCGACGGAGGGACAGATCAAGTCTTGTGCATCACAGATATAAGAACTCAAGAAGAAAATGATACTGTATTCGTAGGATGGACGGCGACCCTTCGAGTGTATCTTACCGTTCGTCTTGTTCAAGACATGGTCGCTTGTGTATTATGGTGTTACTTGCATTGATGGGTTTTATCGTGACGCCATCGCAAGCTAATCCTGATGCCAAACGTTTATACGATGACTTACTTAGTAATTACAATCGATTGATCCGACCAGTGAGCAATAACACAGACACTGTGCTAGTAAAGTTGGGTCTTCGGCTGTCTCAACTCATCGATCTGGTAAGTACACCATTCATACTGTAATTTTAGTACATAAATTATTTCTTTAAAATCATGTCCATAACGTAATAATGATCTAAGTAATACACAATGGTGTAACATAAAAAAACAGCATTAATGTTAACGTCACTCCCACGACGCTGCAAGCTGTATTTTCAAACATGCTTCGCTGTGCCAAGTTTTGTACGCAATATGCTGGTCGTCACTTCCAACGTAGCGCCAGCCAACAAAGATTTTTACTTTTAAATTGCATGTCTCTACTTCATTTTTACATGAAGTCGTTTAATTTTCACGGATTCACAAATAAAGTGATATATATATATTGCATTTAGTCCATGCAGATTCCTTAAAATATTACACTATTAGTAACGCTTGAACTGATTTACATAATGCATTCTTCAACTTATGTTCTGTATTGGAAGAAAAACTGATATATTAATTAACGAAAGTGCTGACGTGATGAAGCAAATTGAGGTTACTTAAGTAACTTGAGTGCTTTAGGAAATTACTATGTTTTTGTGTTACTCGTTAACAGTGGTATATATGCTGCAGATAATCAACAAAGACACGATTATTTATTGGGAACATTACCTTCAAATTAATTATCATCAATACACTAGAATTTAAATTGAGTTACATATGCAAACCCTTACTTATAAATATTATTTATTTATAAATCTACTGACAAACGTCTTTCATTATTTTAGTATTTTCTTATTTATTCACGTATGGAATTACTTACTTCGTAATTTCATTTATTTTATAATTTATATTATCTATTAATATATATTTATTTCACAATTTATCCAAAATTTGCTTACCTTATATTTAGGCCTACTCTAATATTTACATACTAATTTTATACTTCATATAACCGATATTTTTACTTAATATTAATTATTCTTACAAAGCTTATACATTGAAGATGGCTGTCTTCTGGGCTGTTGCGCCGTGAAGTCTGGTAGAAGTTTATCGACGTTTCAAGGTCCTTGCTGCCACTCATTGCCCTGATGATGGAGGCAGCAAGAACCTCAAACGTCGGTAAACTTCTACCAGACTTCACGGCGTAACAACCCAGAAGACAGCCACCTTCCGACTCGCCGTGAAAACCTAACATTACAGATTCATAGAGACTTGACGTTTAGTATTGATTCTAAGCCTGTTTTTGTTGGCATTGGTGAATTTATGGGCGAGAATTGGGATGAAGGGTGGATGAATTTTTAGCTGGTTTGTGTTATCACTGAGCTTTATGCTTCCGGTTCATTCATCTCTATTCCTCTTTCTGCCGGATCTCCGTTCGTTTCCCTCAGATCGATCGAACTGTGGGTGTGCATTCAGGGCTGCTCATGCGGTTTGTGTAGCCACTGACAGCGTCTTTTCCCGTAGAGATAAAATTCCCTTTCCTGTAATGCTAAACAGCTCATTGTTACCGACTTCAGTATAAACTTTGATTCTTCTTCTTCTCAACCCTTCCTAGAGTATATTGCTTTATATTTACAGAAGTTAAAATATTCGCAAACATTTTATATCTGAATATTTTGTACTACACCCTTTTATAAAATATATAATTCCAAGAAACCGCTGCGATAAACATTTATCGAGTTACATTCGAGATGCGAACACAAGCTCATATACGAGGTCTTCGTGCAGTGACCGATTTTAACCAAAATTGGAATTATCGACAAATTTTACTTAAGACTCCTCAGTATCGAATTTTATGGCAATCGTTCAGCGGTTTTCGACTTGTTAAATACCGACGGATGGACAGAGATGGCGGAGTTAACAGGCGTACTTTTGCTGCTTTTCATTCCAGAAGCCCCGAAGTCATGGGAGAAATATTTCAAGATTGATGCACGAAATTTTTCAGCTCGAAATGTTAGCGCTACCTTTCCAAGCTCGTCGTACTGTATGCAACAAGTGATCTGTCCAATAGCTTATGTCGAAATTACAAAGAATATTACACCCCGAATGTGACAAGAGGAAACTTCACAGTTTGAAATTATATTTCTTTTAATAATGAAACTCAGTGGAATCCATTCCTTCATTGACGGAAAAGCATCCAGATGTATCAAGTCCTGTTGGTATGGCATCCTTCACGCATTATCCATAGATGTTCGTAGTTTCGAGGCAAAATTTAATCGGTACCTTGTACCGAGTTAAAAAAATACGTGGAACCATACCTCCAAGCTCAAGTACGCCTTTAAACATCGTATTAATCAAGAACCATTAACAAATTTATAATTACCTCACTATATATTTCACGTGTAGTAGAAAATGTTTACTATTTAAGAGGCACGAAGTCTCAACTAAAGTTAATCTGAGAAATATGATTGAAGCAACCAGTTTTGTGTCATTTTCATCAACCGTATTTTTTTAAAAAATATTTACGCTGTTCTAATTCCATTAACAGCTAATACACTAAGTAAATCTCAAAACTGAACGTCGCTGTTTAGTGGTTAGTAGTATTCATTTATATGAGGGAGATCCTGGGTTAAAATCTCGGCTCAGAGAAATTTATATTGTTTTTCATCAGGCCATGCACCCAAACGCCAGGACAGAGTCCTGAGTTCGGTCGCTGTCGCCTGTTCTCATATCCTTTCTCATTCATTAGGCCTATCACAATAATACTGGATTCTGTACAATCTGAACTATTTATAGTGTTGTTAAACAGACCTAAACCATATACGAATATCTAATATTATTAGAATCCGAACGTCAAATACTTTTACAAAAAATCTCAACTCTCTTTTATTTATTTATTTTTTATTATTATTAGTGTTCTGTCTGACGACAGGTCCGTATGAACAGGATCCTTCCATCCTTTTCTCGGACTGGGACCTGTTCATATACGTTCTTGGCAGATGATCCAGAAGTGGTTTG